AGAAAAAGTCTTATCTAAGTTTTCCATGCATGAATCAAAACCAGTGTCTTTGCCCTTAGCTAGTCATTTCAAATTAAGTAAAGAGCAATGTCCAATTAATGAATTTGATATAAGGTACATGGAAAAGGTTCCATATGCTAATGCAGTAGGGTCTATAATGTATACCATGGTGTGTACCAGACCTGATGTGGCTCACGCAATCAGCACTTTAAGCAGGTTTATGGCTAATCCTGGTCCTGAACATTGGAAAGCACTTAAGTGGCTTCTTAGGTACTTAAAAGGCACATCTAGCTTAGGATTGGTGTTTAAAAACTATAATGAAGGAATAATGCTTAAAGGCTTTGTGGATGCTGATTTTGCTGGTAATAGGGACAATAGAAAGTCCACTTCTGCCTATATGTTTACACTTTGTGGTACCTGTGTGAGTTGGAAGTCTCAGTTGCAACCTATAGTTGCTTTATCAACTACATAGGCTGAATATATTGCTGCCACAGAGGCTATAAAGGAAGCCTTGTGGCTTAAGGGATTGTTATTTGAAATAAGAATGTTAAATGAACCAGTAGTTGTATATTCTGATAGCCAAAGTGCAATACACCTATATAAGAATCCTTTTTTTTTCATGAAAGAACTAAACACATAGATATAAAGTTACATTTTATTAGGGATATCATCTCAAATGAATCCATTCTTCTTGATAAAATTCCTACACAGTATAATCCATCAGACATGGGGACAAAGGTATTGCTTCTTTCCAAGTTTAAATCATGTTTGACACTTCTGAATATTAATACAGGTTAATTTTCAATGCAGGTATAACTTGGTGTCAATTGGAGAGCTGCAAGTGTCCAGAAATCCCATTGGTATCAAAGTGGAAGTTGTTGGGCTGTGATGTCTAATGACCTTTCTGGACTATAACGACAAAATGAGCTAAAGCCCAAAATCTGTTGTATTAAAACCAAGGCTTTTGCCCAATAACGTGACTTGGTCCACCCGAACCAAAAGGTAGAAAGCGTGTTTTCTGGTGAGGCATTTTAAATACAGTCCAAAACACGTCCTCTTCATTATTCTTGGGAGCCCTCGACTGTTGGATGAAATCCTGATCGATGGTTACTTGTTTGTGGGTATAAATATGCCTCTTGGTTGCCCCAATTGAGTTGAATAGTCACTTTCTCTTTCTTGAGCAGCCTGTGAGACTTCGAGACTTCTTCCAAACCCTTCTTCTTCTTCGTGAACTTCCAATCTCTGATTGGAACTGATTTCTGAGTGATTCTTCTTGTAAAACTGAAATTCTAAGCGTATTGAAGGGGTTGGTGTGTGATTTTACCATTGTGGCTTCCTTTAATCTGATAATCTGATAGGGGAAAAGCCTTAGAGTTTGGGTGGATCGTGTGGGTCATACAAACGGGTACAAACCTGATTTTCTCTCGAATCTGAGCCCAAAATATGAAAGACCTTCATCTTTGATGCTTGTGGTCTGAGTTTCGTAATTTTTGTACTAACACTTTTACTGGTTGTTTTGTATATTTGGGTTCATTACTTTGTGTAACAAAACTAATAACTATTAATTATTCACAGAGCTCCAATTGGATGAGTTCTTTTGATTTAAGCGAACGCAAGATGTTCTAACTATCTAAATTGTCTTTTAATTTATCTTCAATAGTATGCTAAGTCCAGCCATTTAACCCAAAATAGAAAAACAATAACTAAATTTTGGATAAAGATGAAGGGACTCACTCAGTGCCTTTCTGCCTGAGAATCCGGAACTGTTCAGGAGAAAGAATTGCACGCCATTCCTCCTCAGACTTGGAAACTGAACCAGATGCCGCCATGGCCACGACCCCACCTCTGAAGCCTCGACGATGATTCAACCCACAAAACCCACTCAAAGTTGTGCAGTATTTTATGGGTTTCGCAAATGAAAAAGATTTGATATGGGAATTAGAAAGAGAATTATTGGGGGCTGGTGAATTCAGTACAGCTCTTGACAAATGGGTTGAATTGAGAATGAAGGTTCTAGAGGAAGCAAATGGCGAGATTTTCAGGATTTGAGAGCCCATTTGATTGTTAAATAATGTAAAATTTGCCTGCCTGTAGAATTTTATCTTTCTTGCTATTTTTGTGATTAAGATAATTCAGCTCAAACTTCATCAGTCGGAACTCACCGACTCCATTCCAAGCCATGATTCCATGTGGTGTCCCCACCCCCACATTATGGTATTGTATGATGGTGTAGGCATTAAGTTACACGTAGCCAAATAATAATAAATTCTAAATTGAACGCTCGAAAAAGGAATTAGTCCAAGTGCCGGTTCTTTAAAATTCATTTTCCACCAAATTTATTTTTAAGCCTATATAAAATAATTTTTACCCGACACATTAAGATAAAAAGATTGGGAATGTCTCACACTCCTGAAGCATTATAGCCTTTTTTTCTATCCTATAGCTTTGTTCTCTTGAGGATAATTAGCACATATCTCTATCTTTAACCATCATTGGAAAACGTCTCAATCATTTTTTGACATTTTTATCCTTAATTACATATTTAATTGCACAAAATATCATTTTCATTTAGGGTTGAACAAAACTCTCGAAATTGATTGATCCGAACCTAAATCGAACCAAATCAAGCGGTTCTTTTTAAGTTATAAACCCGAACAGGTATCTGAATTCAGAATCGACGGATTTAATTCGATTCTCGGTTCTAGATTAAAACCCAAAGAACCGCATATCCTTAATTTTTTTTAATTAATACATTTTAAATAAGTAAATTATTTTATTTTTCTAAATAAGTTTGTCAACTAGTTAATTCAGTTCAAACCAAAAGACACATAAAATTGGATTATGTTATTTTATAAAAGTTAAGATTGAAAATATCATTATTTAAATTAATGTAATTTTGTAAATATTAAAAAATTTAACTATAATATAGAACTTGGAAACCAAATGGAACCGAACCGAATCAAACCGAATCGAATGAAATCGAACCTGAACGATTCTATAATTAAATTTAGACCCGATGGTTCTACTTACCAAATGCCCGAAAATTTCAAATCAGTTCGATTCTCGTTAGAACCAAATTGAATTGGACCATGTCCAACCCTATTTTCATTTATTTTTCAATAAAAAAATGTAAAATGATCAATATACCCTCTTAATTAAATAAAATAAAAAGCAAATTAAAGAACTAATTGCAACCATAATCTCAATTTTTTAGAAAATATATATATATATATAATCATTTGAATAATAGCCTTTGAACGATAATCTTTCCAAAAATATCCTTCATAGAGAATTTGCAACCAAAACCATTACAATGTATAAAAACCTTCAATTAGGTCCCCAACGAAATATAGATCATGAATCTTTAATAAATTTAACCCCAAATATTATACAAAATTTTATTGATCTAAGAAATGCAACAGATAATGAATTAGATTATTTAAAAGAAGATCTGAAGAGTTTCTTTACAGAATATTTAGATCAAAAATTAAAATATAAAAATGTTTATATAGATAATAGAGCAATCAAAATAGAAAATAATATATATAAACAAATTCTTAAACTAGAAAGAAGAATTAACAAATTAAATATAATTATTAAAGAAAAGGTTTTAATAAAAGATAGTGAATTTTATAAATTCTATTGTAATATTTTAAATACTTATAAAGATTTTAATTGGATACAAAATCTTAACCCTTCCGCTGCACGCTCCGACGAAATGGTATCAGAGTCATGTTACGAACCTAAAATTATGATGAATATATTAGATGAAGAAAATATAATTGAAGAATTTTTGAAAAAAGTTGAAAAACATCAAAAACCAAGTTATCCTTATTTACCTAAAAACACTACAAATGAAAGTTTTGAGAATATACATAAAAGATTAGAAAATTTAGAACATAATCTACAAATAGGAAATGCTCTTTTAGATAAAAATCTTAAAGGAAAATATAGGATTATAATTAATCCACCTCAAAATTTTAGGATTACAGAAAAAGAGAATAGTAAAGGGAAAAAATATGAAGAAAATCAATATATGATTACAGATGTAGAAAAATTAGAACAAAAATTCTTAGAATCTATTGGTGAAGAGTATGATGAATATAAAAAACAGTTAGAAGAATTAACTGAAAAAATAAAAAATACAAAGATGAATACTAATCCATCAACAAGTCGAAATATAAAAATAAAATTCGGTAGTGATGAAGAATACGATTATCCTTATTACACAACAATACCTCTTAAAGAAGGTGTTAATCAATATAGAAAAATACAGAAAAGATACACTGGAAATATAAGAAAACAATCCATAAAAGAAACAAATCCAATGAAATCTTATAATGAATCAATCCACACAACAGGAATATGGTTAGATCTAGACTGTGTAGATAAAAATAAAGCTATTGAAACATGGATGAAAAGTACAGACTTAGCAATACAATTTAATAAATAGGAAACATGTACAACTTTTGGATTTATAGAATATACATTCAGAAGAATTGTTTCTGAATGGTGGAGAAAATTATCAGAAACTATAAAATGAAGAATAAAGTATGGAAAAGATAGAACTGAAGTATTAGATAATAGGAACAGTTTAAATGATCAAAATATACAAGAAATATTAAAAAGGTTTGAAAGAGTCTTAAGAACAAAGTTCTTGGGAGATAGATATGCTTTTAATGAAGAAGAAAGAAAACAAGATGAATATAATGAAGGAATGATAGCATTAGAAAATTTAAAGATATGTGACATATGTGAATTAGAAAGATATACATGTAAATTTGAAGAATTATACTATATATTAAATCAAGAAGATTATCAAGAAAATAAACCTATATTAAAGTCTTATTTTACGAAGTTAGTATTCCCATGGGGAAGTAAGTTATTAAAAGAATATGAGAAATTACTACCTTTAAGAGAAAAAGAATGAGTAAAAATAGATAGTTTTGGAAGTAGAATTGAATATACAAAAAGAATGATAAGCATGTGGTGCAGATAAACTCTAAAGAGTAGGAAAACATATAAAATAAGATAGAATTCCTTGTGTTGTCACAAAGATATAAGCCAAATTGAACAATTTGAATGCCATAAGAAGAAATATAAACCATATAAAAAATATAAAAGAAAATTCAAAAACTATAAAAAATTCAAGAAAATAAATTTTAAGCCACACAAAAAATATTTCAAAAAAAGAAATTGGAATAAAAAATCCAAACCAAGAAATATTAAAAAATGCAGATGTTTCATCTGTAATGAAAAAGGACACATTGCCCCTCAATGTCCTAAAAAGAATGATAGACAGAATATAAAAACTTTTAGAATTTATGAAAAAATCCAAAATGATAGTGATAAAGAACCAATTGAATATTTTGGATATTTAAGTAGTGAATGCAGTAACATTTATGAATTAAATACATCCTCATCAGAGGAAGATTTCGAGGAGATAGTATATATGAATCAAGAAATATAACAAGCAGATCTAGAAATAGAAGTTGAAACAATTGAAGAAGTTGAAGACTCGATAAAAGGTATAAATCAAGAAATTACCTTTGATATTAAAAAATATAAAGGAATAACCAAGAAAATATTAGACTTACAATAAAAAAATGTATTCCATCAAGAATTCCTAGGAATACTACCAAGAGTAAATAAAACAATTGTAAGTATGAATTATAAAGAAATGTCTATCAATATAGAAGATGCTATAAGAAAAGCAAGAATTCCTATAATTACAAAAGAATGGGTAAAACAAAAGTTATCCAAAATTTCGGAAAACATAAGAAACAAATTGAAATATGTTGAAATAGGAGGAGTCCAGATAATGGTAAAATGATTCTTTAGAGAAGGTATGAACATACCAATAGAAATATATTGTATGAACAACAGAATCTTACAAGATCCTATAGATGCTCTATTAGGAACAGTTTTAGGAAACTTAGTCTATCAAAAGATAATATTTACAGTAAAACCAAATTATGCAATATCGCTAATTGATGAAAATATTGATCAAAGTTTCAATCTATATTATAAAATTGGAAACTTGAAAATGTTATGAAAAAGTAAGGCTATTAGTATAAGTATAAAACCATTTTATGCTTTTAGTACTAGCCATCATAATAATCTAAAAAAAATAACTGATAATATTATCATACATAAAGATTTTGAAGAATTAACACAATATATACCTTTTAGGAAATATCAAGAACATGAAGTCACTATACCAGAAAAAACAATACTTGATTTCCACAAACAAGCTAGAGAAATTAATTATGAAGGAAAACTGATAAGAAGAAATAGTGTCAACTTGGAAGGAGATAATCTTATTGCAAAATTCCCCTCTAGACAAGACTCTAAGATAAGCAAATTTAAGAAATTAAGTATTGCTGAACCATCAAGTTCACAATATTATATCAAAACAAGATATGTAAATTAAGAAGGATATAAGAAGAATCTTCTTGTCCTCATAGATACTGGAGCAGATAAAAGTCATGTAAATGCTAAATTTGTTAGTCATTTGATAGATTTTGAATTACCAGAACCATATATATTCAAGGATTATTTGGGAAATAACCTTGAAATAAGAAAATATGTAAAATTTCCTCTTATACTTATGAGAGAGGATCAGAAAGAATATACTAAAGAAATAATTCTATATAAAGACGAATTATATGAAGTTGATCGTTCACCTATACTATATGAAATGAACTTTCTTGAAAAACATAGTCCTTATGAAATCTGCCAAGAATATTTAAAAATAACAGTTGATAATAATTCAATCATCATTTCAAAAATAGATGAAAATATGAAATCATTGTTATCATGAAAAGAGTAATCAGTACTAATCCCATGAGTCCATATATTGAAATTATACTCAATATAAAAGGCTATTGCAGAATAAAATTTCATGCTTACTTAGATACAGGAAGTACAATAAGCTTATACTTACCAAATGTACTACCATCTGAATACTGAAAATATAATTCAAAGAATATAGTTACTGCTACAACAGCAGGTGGAAATAGGTAGTATACAGCAAATATGCTACGCAAGTACCTTTTCGAATTTCCTTTAGAGAAGTATTTATTGATACAATATATATGTCAAATACAATTGGATGTGATATTCTATTAGGACAAAATTTCATATTAAAATATGCACCATTTACACAATATATTGATAAATATATGTTCACAAGACCCTGTACACACAAAATATTTACACCAAAAATAAACAAGATTGTTACAATAGCATATAGAGACATAAACCATCAGAATTTTTCAACCTATCGTGGTGGATGTTGGAGTACAGAAAAATTTAAACCAATTACAGTCCTAAAAATGACAACAGAAAATAGGTTAGAAAAATTGAAAAAAGAAATTTTTGAAACATATTCTGAAAATCCCTTAGAAAAATGGAATACAGACAAAGTAAAGACAAAAATAGAATTAACCAATTTAGACACTAATGTTAGAGTCAAACCCATGAAATATAGTGTAAATGACCAAAAAGAATTTAAATACCAGAAAAAAGAATTGCTAGAAGCCAAATTAATTAGGCCTAGTAAAAGTCCATATAGCCCAGCCTTTATGATTAGAAAACATAGCGAGATAAAAAGAGGAAAAGCCAGGATGGTGATAAATTATAAAAAGCTTAATGAAGTTACCAAATTTGATGGATATTACTTGCCAAATAGTCCACCATTATTAAGCAAGTACAAAATAAAAAGATATTCTCAAAATTTGATTGTAAGTCAGGTTTTTGGCAAATTATGCTTACAGAAGAAAGTAAATCATTAACTGCATTTAGTACGCCAAATCTTTTAGGACAATACGAATAGAATGTAATGACATTTGGGTTGAAAAATGCACCAGAGATATTTCAAAGAAGAATGGATGAGGTAATTAAACCAATTACTCTTTTTTTATTGCATATGTAGATGATTTACTTATTCATTCAAATAATATTAATGAGCATATTGAATATCTTGAGAAATTTTGTTACATTATGAAAAAAATAGAACTACACTTTTTCAAAATAAAGCTGAAATGGCTAAAACAGAAATAGAATTTTTAGGATTATTTATAAAAGAAGGAGAATTGCAATTGCAATCTCATATTGGAGAAAAACTTCAAGAATTTTCTGAAAAAATCAAAGATAAAAAATAATTACAAAGCTTCCTTGGTGTATTGAATTATGCTGAATGATTCATTAAAAATTGTGCCAAACTAAAAAATTATTTTCCTCCAAAGTTAAGAAAAAATATAATGTGGTCTTGGGAAAAACAAGATTGTGAAAATATAAGAAAGGTAAAAGAAGAATTAAAGGCATTACCCAAACTTATAATTCCACAGGAAGAAGATTTCTTTATCCTTGAAACTGACGCTCCAGATAACTTCTGGGGAACAGTATTAAAGATTAAAAAGAATCATAAAGAATATAAATGTGAAAAGAATTGTTCTTGTCCTGAGATACTTGCAGGTTATACATCAGAAACATTCAAAAAAGTTGAAACGAGATATGAGATGATCAGGAAAGAACTCATTGCTGTAAAAATGGGAGTTCAGAAATATGAAGATTATTTATTACCAAAAAATTTCTTGATTAGAACTGATAATATTCAAGTTAAAGCCTTTTTGAAAAATAATGTTGATCCATCTATTACCAATAGATATATTATCAGGATACAAATTTGGTTTTCATACTTCAAATTTGATATTGAATATATTAAATGTAAAACTAACTTTCTTCCTGATTATCTCTGCAGGGATGGAGCAACTAAGGACGAAAGTTCAAATACTTGAGCTAAAAGTTTCCTATTTGGAAACACAAATTCAAAATATCCAAGATAGCCTTCAAGACAAAAATATAGCACTTGAGACAGATGTAACTTATACCAAGTCTCGTATCAATTCACAAGGACCTGTAAATACTAGCGCTCTCCCCGAGAATAAAGGGAAAGAGAAGAAGGTAATAGAAACCCCTTCACAGGGAATACTTCAGCCTATTACTGGTAAAAAAGATATTCCAAATATCAAAAGCGAAAGTAGCTATTCACAGAACCAAACTAAATCTAAACTTTCTATTGAAAGAATAGACCCAAAAGATATTGTCAAAATATGTCATGAGGCAAAATTTTCCATAAAAGATAACCATGAAGAAATCATATTCTTTATTGTTATTTTTAATGTTCTATCAGATTGGTATCTGAAGATTGGAAAGTGGATGAAGACTCTCCACCATTCAAAATACAACAAGATAAACTTCTATTCAAGAGCACCAGCTAATTGGCTACGAAACTGTTTTGAGATAGGAAATATACTCTGTATATATCAAAGCAAAGATCTCAAAAAAATAGCCCAACTTCCAGACAACGTCAGGAAGGCTGTTAAAAGATATACTGAAGTTGTTAAGACAACAAACATATACGTCAGATTTCATTCAGGAACTATGGAATGGGATTCCGTTCTTGAATACATGCATCCATCATTCCATGTTATCAAAATGAGATTTACAAACCAACATTTTTTACAAACCAGTCAAAAGGTTGTTAAAAATGGATATCAAGATATTATAAATATGATGCCCTATAGAAGAACAAAAGGGTACAAAGAAATATTTGAGCACGTAACCCAAATAATTACTGAGAAAGAAAAAATATGGATTTATCCATCTGGAGACCATATAATCTACTCCAATGTAAGGATGGCTACAAAGGAAGAAGACATATGTTATCTTGACCATCTATTGTCCTCAATTATCTCAAACCAAGTACATGGGTCAGAAGATATGGCGAAAGAACTATGCAAACTACTCTGGAATTACAGTGACCACCATTGTGAATACTGTGTAGTGGAAGATATGAGTTAAGCATCTCTCAACAGTGAAGAATTCCCCATAGAATTCTTTGATTCAAAGATGGAAAAGTAATAGCGACAAAAGTGGCCCTTTATCACTAATTTAATAAAGAGATTTATTAAAGAAAAACTGTGGCTACTAAAAGACAGAAGATAATGCAAGAAAGTCTCCATAATTGTGATCACTTACTTACCAGTTGTCAAAAGTGGAAGACAAATTCAAAGATAAGGCAAATAATTTCAAAAGGAGAGGTCCACCTAGCAAGAAGATAATGGAGAAATCAGTGGAAATAAGACTACTGAGCTACCCACCAAAAGAAAGGAGGATACAACTGTCAAGATAAGATTCTCAAAACCTTCTATAAAAGAGGGCAAGAAGGGAAAGGAAAACATCTCGAAACAACTTATCTCTAAAACACTTTGAAGAAACAAATTTCAAATATTTTGTAATCTGTATACAACACTTGTATTCAGAAATATTAGATAGTCAGAAGATAGCAAAAACTTGTAATAAGGTAATCACTTATGGAGTTCTAAACTTCATAAAGTGAGTACATTAGGAATGTAAAAATAGATTGTAAGCATGTATTATTTCAATTTATGAATATTAAAGTGAAGTTTGTTATGTCTAACAAAGCTTTCATAAAAGGATTTCGTTAAGTTTCTCATGATTCCTAGGCAGTACAGATAGAGATTTTAAAAGATTTTTCAAAACATTGATTTTGAATGGATGTTAGTCATGCCAAAGTACCTGTCTTTGATGAATGGTTTAGGGGAAAAAGGCAGTTTACTAACAAAATTGTAGCACCTTATGTGTGAGTTATCTTTTAAAATTTCGTTCCAAGTAAGGACTTGATTCTGAAAAGAGTCTGAATAGAGGTGAAAACAGAGACTTTGAATACTGTGAGATAGCGTATGTGGAAACACGACTAGTTCTCTAGAGTAAAAAAATGCAACCTTAATTGAAAAGCTTTTTGCGGAAGCAGTTGTGGACCCAAATGATTTCAGAAAACATTTTGAACTTTTACTTGATTCAAAAGATTGATTAAGTACATGCAAAGCATCTATAAAGAGCATATTGGAGGGAAAGTCTATTTACTTCTATTCGATTACTGTAAGTTATTTATTCGCTTTTACATACTTATACTTTGATTAATTTTGATGAACACTTCACAAGCATCCACATCTATTTCTAATAGTAATAATGATCCCAAATTATATTTAGATGAGAAAGATATTTCGTTTTTATTTAAATTAGTTGAAAAGTCTGAAGATATATTTTCTGTTGGCCAAGAAAAACTTGAAGAAATATATCGAGATATAGATTATTATTGTAATCATAATCTAAGAATTGATTTCATAGAAACTAGTAGAGAAATAAAAAAGGTAGAAGATATTATAACTAAACATAAAGATATACAAGATGAAGTTTCAGAAGGAATAGTTCTAGGATATATAACTGAAAAAGATTAGCCTAGAATCTTTGAAAAATTATCAAAAAACAGAGAATATTTAGAGAAATTAGGAAGAATTGTAAGAAATAATCTTGAAAGACCTAATAATTGAAAGATATAAGATACATTTTGCAAATAATAAAAATAAGGGTAAAATAGTATTTCCAATAAGCAAAGGTCATTGTGATAAATAGAACTAATTTTTCAACCATTCTGAAAACTACCCCTATCTTCCTCTTACTCTTCCCCTTCCCTTCACCTCCCCCTCCTTCTCCACCATCACCACCAACTTTTTTTATTCCCCATCCAATCCCACTTC